TACATGATAAGGTGCACAAAATGTAATGCAAAACTTGGTAAACTTTTTTCTGCCAATTAGTTCATAAACAAAATTTTTATTTCTAATTATATTAAAGATTTTTAAGATAGTAAAGTCGTTTTTCAACATGTAAAAATATAAAGTATAAAACGTTATTAACATCGGGTTCGTAAATATTAGGAGTTTTTAATTCCACTAATAATGGTTTGGAAAGAGTAAGACAATCCGCAAAATTAATAATCATAATACTAAACATTTTTTGGTTGTACCAAAAAAAATCTCAAGAATCTAATATATAAACTAATATTCTCAAATCGAATCCAACATTTAAATGGCTACGCATTTTGTTACATGATTTTTTCGATGTGCTTTAGAAGATTACTTTAAGATTACTCTCAGATTAAATTTTGTTTATTGATATAAAGGGGTGATTTCTTGTTATTCCAATCAAAGTGCATGACCATACATTTTGAAATTTTGAATTTTACAAGCTAGTCTCCAGTCCACTTAAAAGCTAAATCAAATTCTGATTGCAAAGATATTTTTGATGCACAGGAAAGTTTTTTATTCAACAGTTTAGTGCGTCGTTTGCATTAATTAAGCGTGTTAGAGTTTTAGGCAAAGCGTTTAAGAGTGGTCCAATTACCGACCCTTGTCACACAACATTCTTCCCAAGAAGATACATTTTTGCCTGTCCTAACTCATTGCTTTCTTTCTTTTAAAAATGCTTCAACCAATTGAATTTTGTGAACAGATATGTTAGTTTAAGCAACAATTTTTATGTGGTACTGTGTCAAATGCCCTAGCGAAATCAAAAAAACAACATCAACAGGTTTGCTATTATTTAGTGTAGTTGAAATAAAATCTAGTGTTTTAAGGTGGTAGTATGGTCAAAAACTTCAAATTTTTTGATTTTTTCAATATAACTATATTGGCATTTTCATTCATGCTGAAAACGAGAGTGTTATTTATTTTTTAATGTATTCTTTATAAAACCCTCTATTTTTCATCTAAAAATAGTACTTTAAAATATTGCTCCTTAGCAACGGCATAGCAACAAATGTAAACATCATGTATATCATCTTGTTGAACTGCCTGGAGCAAGAATTTTTTATAGGAAGTTTTGAGAAATTACTTAGTGATATTTGGCTTCTTTTTTTGTCGTGAATATATATAAGCTGTTAACATCTAATTTATTGTTATGATTGTTAGGCATAATAAAAGCACGCGTTATCAATTTCAGTTACTGATGTTATAATATAGCTAGAGTATAATTTTTTATTATTGTTTTTAAATTATTTAGTGCAGATTAAAATAAATTTATTATTTCTAATCAAGTAATATAAAAACTAAAGCTTTAAGAAGAAGAAAAATTGGTGCCTTAAGAGTTTTTAAAAAAAGAAAAAGCACTTCAAAAAAAGTTTGGCTATTTTTACCCAAAATGAAGATACTTCTGTGAGCAAAGAATTGTCATTATTTGACAGAAGTAACTTAAGCATTTTACTTAACTTAACAACAACAAGTAATGTTATAGCCAGTGATGAACCTTTTCTACAACCTCAAAGTAATAAAAACAAGTCGAACTATGTTTTAATTGATCTTGATATAATTGTACAAATTCTTACGTTAGTTAGAATATGCCCTGACTGTGAGAGCAAATCAATCAATATTAATATAGATCACAAAAATAAAAAAGGTTTAAGTTCTTTGTTGCTATTGAGTTGCACTAAGTGTTCATGGAAAACAAAGTTTTATACTAGTAAAAAAGTTGCAAGTAAAATTTCGGAAAAGTCTTTTGATATAAATTTACGTTCAGTAGTTGCGATGCATGAAATTGGAAAAGGGCAAAGTGCATTAGAAAAACTATGTGGTTTTTTAAACTTACCACCTTCAATTCAAAAAGCCAAATTTAATGATGTTTAAAGCAAAATATTGCTGTAATATAAATATGCTGTAACGCAATCAATGATTAATGTAGCTCTTGAGTTTAAGTTGGGAGATGATACTGAAGTTTCAGATATTACTGTTTCTTGTGACGGTAAATAACAGAAACGAGGACATAACTCCTTAAATGGTATAGTAACTGTTATTGCAGTTAAAACAGGAAAATGCCTTGACTATCGTGTTCGCACAAAAAAATGTAAAGCTAGTGAACTCTGGGAGGATAAGTTCAATTCTGATGAATATGAAGAGTTTATGCAAAAAGATAAAAACGACTGTCACTTTAATCATATTAGATCTGCTGGAGCTATGGAAGCAGCAGGACTTGTCGAATGTTTTAATGCCTCTGTTTTAGAAAGAAAATTAAGCTACATAAATTAATTTGGAGATGGTGGTGCTAAAGCATTTTTAGACATTCAAAAACAGAACCCATATGGAAAAGAATTAAGCAAGCTTGAATGTGTAGGACAAAAAAGAGTTGGAGCAAGAATAAGAAAATTAAAAGCAACTAATAAAAGCTTATTAAGTGATGGTAAAATATTAGGGGGTGTTAGTCGTCTTACGGACAAAAAAATTAACAAGTTACAAAATTATTTTGGAATTGCGATTCGTTAATGTTGTGAGAAATCTGTTTATGAACTAAAAAAAGCTATAAGAGCGGTATTATTTCATTGCTCTGAGGCATCATCTTCTGATATAAGACATGCTGTGTGTCCTCAAACTAATAATACTTGATGCAAATACCAAGCAGATAAAATTAATAAAACAAATGTTTATAAAGAAAAGCCTGGACTGCCTATTGTTATCAGAGGCATGATTAAACCAGCATTTATAGATTTATCAGATGAAAGTTTGTTAAAAAAGTACCTTCATGGAAAAACTCGAAACAATAATGAAGCCTTGAATGCAATAATTTGGAAACGGTGTCCAAAAGATTTTTATGTTGGGCAAACTTCCCCACATAAACAACTTTTGGACATTCTATTTCAAAAGATTTCTAATACATGGAAGAGTGATTAAAATTTTTTAAAAAAAGAATCAGCTTATTTTATATTTTAACTTATTTTTTACGATGATATTTTTTTGAAATTACAGTTTTCTTAGAACGACATTTTTGAGCACAGTGCGATAAATAACTTGAGAACTGCTTGTTATGGTGCTTTAAAATTTTGTACAGTTAATGTTAATGTACTTGTTATAGTAAATTTTGTTATAGGTTAAAGTATATATATATATATATATATATATATATATATATATATATATATATATATATATATATATATATATATATATGTATATATATATATATATATATATATATATATATATATATATATATATATATATATATATATATATATATATACAATTATGTTAAAGTAAAGTAATATACTCAATTGAAATTCATAAACTCATTGAAGCAGTATATTTCTTTATTGTATGAAAAAATCAATATTGTTTGGTTAAAAAAAACGATTTTTGAATTTTGACCACCTTAAGTATTCTTTTGTTAAAAAATATTAGTTTATGTGTAAAAAATATTGCTTTAAAATTGTTTAAAGCTGTTGTCTATTTTCCCATACCTACCACCTTAAATAATAATTTTTTACCCTGGTGAAATTACGCGTGTAAAAATTGATAATGATGATATATTTTGAAAAATGTTTTTATATTTATAAAAGTTTTTATGTTTCATTCTTTTTTTTTTTTTTACTAAATTTTTTACTAATAATTTAAGATTATTTAAACTTATTTTGAACTCTTTTTCAATTCTATTTCATATTTAATTTTTAAATTATAAAAACATTAAAATCAATCATTAAATTTTAATGTTTATAATTATATTGTAAGTTTTAATTGTTATTTTAAAACATTTTTCTGAATTTTGATTGTTCCACGTGTTATAAAGTGCGATATTACCGTTGAGCATAAATAAAATTTTGTTTTTAGAAGTTATTGATAATGGAGAGTAAATATTTTCAGAATGAAAAATACAATCAAATTGACTTGGTCATTCATCATGTATTTCTCACTCGACGACTACCGCACAAAGAAGAAGAGGAAAGTTGTTCTGGAGCATTAGTGCAGTTTGTCTTTGATCACTTACCTGACATAAAAATGCCCATGTTAGGTTTAAATTTTGTTCGAAAGACAATGGAAATTTGGAAAAGTATACAAAGCAGCTCAGTAGATGAAATTCAAATTAAGAACGCTCTTTTTTCCTTACAGCGTGGTCAAACCTTTGCAATATATATTCGAGCTCATAATTCTGTTATAACTGTTAGAAGATCAAAACGCCATAGAAATGCTCTTATGAGTGTGTTTAGAGCTTTACCAAATAATGAAAAGGTTTTGATTGAAGAAGACTTATTTCAAGCTTTTCCTGAACGAGCCGTTTGGATTCCTTTCAATCGGTTTTTATCTGATGCGTTTTCTAGGCAAGTTGCTATATTATGCAACAAAGCTTTGGACGAAACTTTGACAAAAGCTTTAAAAGCTGGTGTTCAATATGCTGATTATTTTGATGTTGCTGAACCCGTGTATGTTACTTCGTGGTTGTTGGGAGCAATGTCTGGAATGATACAAGGAGAAGAGAATTTTGAACGTGTTCACAAAGTAATACGCCACGAGGTTTTATACAAAAAAGGATATGAAAACCCGTGGCGCCGTTCTGGAGAGTGGTTTGCAATTAAATGTGTTCTTCAAATAATGCTTGTGATAGAGCTTGGAAAAAACGAAGGAACAGTTGTTTACAAATCTTTGATGATTTATATCATGACTAGTTTTGTTGAAGATCTTCCAGGCACTTATAAAGATACTGATATTATCATGCAGATGTTAAGCAAAACAAGTAGAAGAATGATAAAGTTGAAAAATTATATAAACAGCTCCAACCAAAAAATGGAGTTATCTAATCAAACAATTGAATGGATTAATATAGTATTTAAATATGGGCGTATTATTTTGCAAAAAAAGAGAGATGTAGCAGACAGTCACTGGATTAATCACGCAAAAACCTGTTCTAAAATGTCAAAGATTAATGTTTTAGAGCTTTGTCTACCTGAGCATACAACTCATAACTTAAAACAGCTGGCCGTTACTCGAATAAACCAAGCATTTAAAAGGAAAAATATTCCAAAAATGAGTGTAAAAATTCCAGAATGTATAAACCGCTGGAACAATGAAACTCTTCTATTTAATATTAGTTTTCTTAAAAACACTAATAAAAATAATGAAACAGAAATAAATCTTTATGATTTTGAAGTTTGGGTTAGAATGGTATTGTGGAAAGATTTTGCTCTCAATATTACGCCGTTTCTCAAAAACAGTTCTAAAATTTTCAAATTATTCTGTCAATATTTTGAAATAAGTTTAAACTTCTACGCTAATGATCCAATTGGGTTAAGTCGAATGGTTTTAACACTACTTCTAATAATTGCTGCATTGGATTCTATTGCCATAAAAAAAATTCCACTACTAGCTTTATATCACAGCAGTTTTGACGATAATTACTTCAATAGTTTACTAACACCATTGCTTGAAGATATGAAATATTTACAATCTGTTCGAGACTATTTTACAAAAAGAAACGCGTCTAGCTTTAACCCTAGCATTATATCAACAAAAGTAAATATAAAATCATTTGGGCCAAGACTAGCCAACGGAAATGAAACGATGCAACAAATAAGAAAAGATATTCTTTTGTACGCTGAGAAACAACGTGAAAATAAAAAGAAAGAGCTTGAACAAAGTCTTAAGAAATACAATAGTTTGATGGAAAAATATTATAGAAATGAGCATCAACATGATTTAGAACAAAATTTTTATTGCTATAAATGTCAATTATTGAATAAAGCTAATACTATAATAATTGATGTTTATGAAGACCCGGTTCCTGAATATTGCGTTTGGAAACAAAATGCAATTGTATTTGAACTCTGTATACCAGTCAGCATACGATGTCTTCGAGATGCTCTGTTTTTAATTCATAAAAAACTGGAGGAAAAACAATTTCAAAACGCTTGCATTAAACAGTCATGGAAATCACATCCGCAGTTGAGTTCATGGGTCAGTTCAGAATGCTTGAAATCTTTAGTTTCCATAGGAAGTGATACTGTATTAATTTCGTCGTCCCGCTTTAAAGTTCATACCATAAGTGCTTCTTCAACTGTTCATGATGTTCTTAAACCTTGTGGTCTCACTATAAAACTCTTTATCAAATATAAAAATAAAGAAATTGAATGTAAAACTGATAGGTATAATCAAATTAAAAAAAAATTTTACACAATGAAAGCTTTGGACAATCCTTATGAAATTGATGAGACATGGATTGCAGAAACAACTCATACAGAAAATGAAGTTCTAGCTTCTCAGGTAGACTGTCCTTTGAATCTTAAACTTGATGAATATAAAGCATTTGGTTCACTACGTGCAGGTCATCGTTTACAACTTAGAAGATTACTCAAAGCAATTGAAATGCGTTCATTAAGTTTTGAAAGTTCATCTGTGTTTGCTTTAATTGCACAGACTCTATGGCAAGCAGGACCATTTGAAAAAGATAACGTGATTGTAGTTGATAAAATTGATGATCCTCTTTTATTTTTTGAAAGCCACTCTGATCTTCAAAATGATGGATTTTGTCATGTCTTAATAGAATGTCTGTCTAATTTTTTAATAAATATTGAAAAAAATTGGAAGAAACACAATCAACTCCATATAATTATAATAACTACTCTTAGAATTTTTTCATTGTCAAGTGATAAAACTCGTTTCAAGGCTTATGAACTCCTATTACAATGCCGATCAATTGCTCAAACATGGGCTGTTGAAATTGAAAGCCTACTTTCCAAAAAAATGACAGAAAGTATAATTGAAATCCAAGAAATACGTTTAAAATTAATAGACGTAGCTGCATTTGCGGCGCTTACTTTTGACATTGATAGGTGCTATGAGTATGTAATAAATAGAGAGTCCTTGATTGATTGGCTACACTCAGTAGCTCGAATTCACGATAATATTCATTTAGGCAATATTTTTTTTAATGAAGAGAGAAAAAACTTGCTTCGACGGGTCAGACTTATTGGGTTGCGTTTTGAAAATGTTGCAACGAAGATATTTGCTTCGGAAAATAACTATATATTTACAACATTTCTTACCTCTTATTGGGCAGATTTTTGTAAAGGTAATTACAGAAATCTTTGGCTATCATATCCACAGCCGTCTCAAGCATGGTATTATAACACCTTTATTTCAAATAACTCATCAGTAACATTGCAAATTAACATTTTAAATGGTAAGTTTCTTGTAGACGGAAATCCTGTTGGACAACTTCCAGATGCTATTACTAAATCATCTGTTTACCAAAGAATTTTTAGTACACATGTTTTTGATGTGCAACCATCAGCTGGACAGCTTTCTTCATTTGTAAGTGTTCACGATTTTCAAGGTTCAAGATTTTTGTTTTCTATTCGAAAAGACGAACCTGTTATTGTAGAACGGACTAGCTTAGGTAATGAGTACGAATTAATTCCTTCCGATGTATTTAATGGAGATTTACCAAATTTTTTAATTAACAAATACAGTCATTGGTTGTGTAAAACAACAAGGATCATTTATTTTCGACCAGTTAGGTTTGATGACGTTAATTTTTTTAATGTTCAATCTCAAGAACATTTTCCATATAGATTTAATGTGTTGGATAAAACCTTATATGATTTACAAAGAGAACGTTATTTAGTTGATATTAATAGTAATACCTTTAAAGAAATTTATAGTTGCTTAAACCGCATTGAACTTAAAGAATATGTACACTTATGGGTGAGTAAAAATAAAAAAAATATACAAAAAAAAGAACAAATGGAACTTAATACGGATGAAGATGAGTTTGCACTCAACGTTGAATTACCTCGAATGGACTTAAGCTTTAAAGTTGAAGTAAATACGGGTAAGTTATTTTCAAACGAGCACATTGGGTTAATTGTTGCGAATGATCAAGGTAATATTGGAACACTTATTGGACTAGAAAACAGTCTTTTGCTACATGAGGATAAACCATTGATTGATGCTAATTACACGGGTCAACAAAAAGTGTTAATTATACCACATTCAAAAAAACTTGAGTTGACAAAATCTTTTATTCATCAAAATGTAAAAATTAACTTTTATAGATTACTTTCTCCACCTTATTTTTCTTACAACATTGATGACCGACTTTGTGAACTCCGTGGTCCTGCTAATAAAGAAGCTTGGCTTTATCTATCTCTACTTCATGCTGTGACCTCGAGTTCGCTTCCAGACCCATTTACAAGGTTAACAGGAACTGAATCTTCAATGCGTTTATTACAAATTGGGCGTACTTTCTCATGCAGACCATTTGACCAAAATGCATTGCATACTCTAAAAAGCATTTCAAATTTAGCTCCAAGACGGGAACAAATTAATGTATATTCACAACGTTTACAATCTGTAACCTGGTTTCCAAATCTTTACTCTACTTATGGCTACGAGGGATTGGTTTTAGCGTCAAATATTTTAATTTATCATGCTGATATGTATAAAGAATTGTTTCCAACAAATCAACAAAAAACAGAACAACAAGAAAATATATTTACAAAAAGAGCATACTGGCGTTATAGAACACAATTAAACTCATGCGCTCACTTGGATGCTGAAAACGAAAAGTTTATTGGTAGAGTTCCAAAAAGAAAAATGGCGTGGTCTTACACTAATGATCGTAAAGAGAATAACATTTCACGGTTAATAATGGAAGATTATTATAAATCAAAAGGCGTTAGTTTTCTTCCTTCTAATTTATGGGATGTAGTTAGAAAAAAAGTAAATCTAAAAAATCCACAAATAGTTTCCTTATCTCACATGTTTACAATCAAAAACTTTGATTTTCTAGACAATTACTTACAGTTATATGTGTTGGCTCAAAATTTTCAAGAAGATTATTTCCAATTTTGTTTTTTGCTATCTTTATTAGCTTTTAAAGGCGAAAGTTTTGACTTGTTGTTCAGCCTTTTAGCTGTTGTTATACTTCAAATTCAAGTAAATTCTCCGTCAGTAAGAGATTATGAGTACCTCAATGAAACAGAATTTGATTTAGAACAAATACACAACGTAATTAAAGAAGAATTCAATGACATCAATCTTAAAAGTAAGTGCTTAGAGGACAAAAAAAGTTACACGAATTTCAAACAAAACGCAATTATTACGTTAGGAAATATGGCTCAAAAACAGTGGAAAACAAAAAATGTAGATTTTCAGTCAATTGGTAATTCTAAAATATTAAATACCAATCATACCGATACAAATATGTTTCCTAGACATCAATCAATATTAACGATGCGGTTAAACGATATTGTGAATATATGTAAAATAGAAAAAAAAGTCAAGAATTTATTTATACGATGGGATAACAATGATAAACTTAAATCATTTTTCAATGAAGTAGAATGTCAAATCCGTTTGAAAAATTTTTCTCTTCAAATTGATGCTTTATCATCACTTGATGAACTATTTGCTCCTCCTTTATCAACTTCAAGAAGTATTGATCCATTTCTCTCAAAAGCGTACAAAATCAACATTCCAATTAATAATCCAGAAGAAAACCAGAATGCAATAAATTTGTACCAAAAGAAATCTTCTGCACCTATGTTTTATTCCAAAACCTGCTCTGATTTTCCAAGTAAAAAAAATCAACCTCATGAAGTGTTGTCTCTTCTTCAAACTTTAACAGATGACCACGATAATGATGATGATGTATTAAAATTTATGAAGGAAAATCTAAAAAACAGTTGCGAAAATTTTTATAAAAATAATTTTTTATCTTCATACAAAAACAACTTTGAAAATACTAAAATAATTTATAAATGTCAAAATAATTTATCTAACAGCAGATCAAAGTGTTTGTGGAAAGAAGTAGAAGACGCCATGATGCCGCTTTATAATGACAATGTAGATTATTCTCTTTTATATGGAGGATTATGGAGAAGAATTACTCCTGTAACCATAATTCCATGTATATTACCTTTAACATCTTTATCTCGTACATTACTTACAATCGATGCTAAATATGTAGTTCCACAAAGTGTTGTCAATCGTATCGGTGCATTAATTGTATCCTGGACAAGCGAACAAAGAGCTATTCGGTGTTTAAAGCTAATTCATAATAAAACGTCTGATATTGTTCTCTTTCGAGAACTGATTAACGTTGGCCATAAAAATTGGGTTCCCTCGTCAAATCCTGAATGGCTCATTCTTGAACTTGAAGCAAATTTCTTAATCCGTCCTATACAGATTGATGTTGCCCAGAGCATGATAGATGCAAATGAAAACTTTGTTCAACAGCTAAACATGGGAGAAGGAAAAACCAGTGTTATTATTCCATTACTTGCAACTTCTTTAGCTACATCGGAGCACGTTGTTAGAGTAACTGTGTTACGTTCTCTTTTGAATACAAATTTCGAATTACTTGTGGATAAACTTGGTGGGCTTCTCAACAGACGAGTTTACATAGTGCCGTGTCGCAGAGATTTAAACTTCTACCCTTTAAAGATGCTAAGAATACACCAAGAGTGTCTTTTGAATCGTGGAGTGATGTTGACAACACCAGAGTACCGCTTATCTCTTAATTTAAAAACATTGGAGCATTTCCGCAAAAAATCTAAACATGCAAAAAATTTTTATCTGTTGCGTTGTTGGCTTCAGAAACATATCCGCGATGTTCTTGATGAGGCGGATGAAATATTAAATGTTAAGTTCCAGGTTGTTTACACACTTGGTGAACAGTTACTTGTTGACAGTGGTGAACTGAGGTGGATAATATCTCAAGCAGTTTTAAAATTAGTTAATACGTTTGCGGAAAAAATTTTTAAAAAGTATGGAGAAAAATACATTGAATATTATGTTGACAATACTCGATACGATTCATTTGCACATATTCGTTTTCTTAGCTACAACAAGAAAATGTATAAAGATATGTGTTGCTTAGTTGTTGATTCAATTCTTAATAATGAAGTTCCACAAGTTTCAGTAGCAGCAAAGTTAAAAAAAAGTGATAAAGAACTTGCTAGATTATTTATTACCTCTAACGACATTAGTGATACAGATATGGACAAGCGTTTATCCAAACTTTTTAAAAAGAATATTGTTTTAAAGGAAGAGTTGTTAATTTTACGTGGCATACTTCTCTTTGAAGTTTTACACATTGCACTTCGAAAACGTTGGAGAGTTAACTTTGGTGTTAGTCTATCAAACACGACTTCAAAAATGGCTGTACCATTTCGTGCTAAAGACGTTGCCGTAGAAAGAACTGAGTTTGGTCATCCTGATATTGCTATCATTTTGACTCAAATAAGTTACTATATGAGTGGCCTTAGTGAAAGTCAGCTAGATGAGGTGTTTTTGTATTTAGATAAAGGCACAAACAAAGAGATTGAATATGAACAATGGATTAAAGCTATTGGAATTGATAATGTGCCAAAAAATTTGTGTGAATTAAATGGTGTTAATCTAGACAACATAGAACAAAAAAAAAAATTATATTCTATATTAAGTTACAGTATGAGTGTCATAAATTTTTGGTTAAATCAAGTAGTTTATCCACGAGAAGCAAAACAATTTCCAATTAAGATTTCAACATCAGCGTGGGATCTATGTTTAAAAAGTAAGCTTGGATATGAGAATAAAAACTACACTACCGGATTCAGTGGCACAAATGAATTGCAGTTGCTATTTCCGTTGACCATTACGCAAAAAGACTTGCCGAAATTGTCAGGAACAAATGCTATGGTTTTAAGTTTTTTACTTCAACCTGAAAATAAAACCTATTATTGCATAGACTCGTGTGACTCGTTAGAAGAACGAATTTTAAATAATCTGATCAAAACAAAAGCTTGTGTTTTAATTGATGTAGGTGCACTAATGTTGAAGATGGATAATAAAATGGTTGCTCGAGAATGGCTTAATATTTCTTCAGCTTCTGAAGTGTCTGCAGCAGTATATTTTGACACGGAAGATAGATTGATGGTTTGTGATAGAAAAGGCCGTACTTCTTTACTTTCTGTTTCTCCATACTGTCACAAACTTAATAGATGTGTCATATATCTTGATGATATTCATACTAGGGGAACAGATTTAAAGTTTCCCATAGGCGCTAATGCTTGTGTTACTTTGGGTAAAGGACTTACAAAAGACCGCCTTGTTCAAGCATGCATGCGTATGAGATTGCTGGGAAATGGACATAGTGTTTATTTCTACGCCTCAAAAGACGCCCACATCTCTATTGTAAGTCAAATGAATAGTTTAAATAGAATCCCAGACGCTACTGACGTCCTAAAATGGGCAATTAATAACAGCTGCAATACCATTCGCGTCGGACTTTTGAATTGGTCATTTCAAGGTATTCGCTATGCTATAAAGGAAGCTGCTGAGGTATCTATGTTTAAAAATAAAGCTGATGAAGAAAGACTATTAAGTAGTCTTCAAAAACTTGGTAATAGGTGTTCTGAAGACGAAGTAATCTACCTGGAGAATTTTTACGGAGGATCTCGATCATTAAAATATGTTCCTAAAATTGTTCAGAATAGTTTAAATAAACGTATTAATTTGTTAAAGAAAAACTATAAAGTAAACAAAATTTTTGTCGAAACCCTAACCTCATTTGGTGCAAATATCATTTCTCGCTGCAACCAATATTTATCTAAATATAAAAGTTTTGCTAACATCCTTGACGAAGAGCAAGAACGGGAGCTTGAAGCTGAGCTGGAAGAAGAACGCCAGGTTGAACGTCCACCTCGTCAAAATCCACATAAACCAAGATTGTCAAAAGAAATTAGAGACCTAGTTGAAACTGGTGTTATAAATTATGGAAATCTTGTTGATATTTTGCCTATTAATAAAATATTTCAAAATACATATCGAATTTCTAAGTTGATGCCAATAAGTGGTTGGAGTAGTGACTTGCTGGTAACAAATGAGTTCACTATGGTTATTGAAGATTCCAATAGTGGTGACGATTTTCTCTTTGATATATCTTGGGTGATAGTTGTTGCTCCTAAGTACTATTTTGACCCTGTCATCTGCGTTGTGATAAGTTCTTTTGAAGCAAATGAGTTAATTCCAATCTTTCGTTCAATAAAAAGAAATCACCGTGTCAGATTACACATGTTTGCACCACGTCTACGCCGTGATCAAAGCATATTTATTAATCAAAGTTCACTTGTTATTCCTAATTTGGAATACAATTTGTCAGAAGATTGCATCATTGCTCAACTTTTTATTTTATCTGGTGGACTGTTTTTTTCAACTAAAGAAGAAGAAAAGGCGTACTATGATTTTTTAAAAACCTTTCAAAATTCTTCTGATAAAGAAGAAGTTTTAAATAGTTTATTTAATGAAAATGTGAAGAACTTTGTTGACAATGAGTTTATTAGATGTGACAATATAAGTTTAATGAACGAGAACTCAAAAAACAACTTTGTGAATGCTGCAGTTGAAATTTTGCGTGCACGTGGGCGTTGCATGCTTTCAACATTGTCAGATGTTTGCCAGTTGCTTTTACATGAAACCAGATCTTCATCTTTTTCATAACTTTAATGATCTAATAATTATAACATCTTCAATTTATTATACACTAGTGGCCATAGGAATGGACACCCCTTCAAAATATATGAAAACTTCACTTTGGTGTGTTTTTTAAAAGAAAACAACCATATTTATGCGGTTCTTTATATTGATTATGATTTTTTGATGTTTTTAGATTAAAAAAAACAAAAATTTTAATTAAAATTCACAATTTTAATATAAAAATATAACAATTTAATGACAAAGTGGCAAATTATGGTAAATTTACGTTTTACAGCTTACAAAACATGTTACTAAAAAAATGGTTTATAAAAAAAAAAACTTAATATTTTGTTAGATATTCATTATTTTTTATTACTGCAGCAATCCTACGAAGCATTGAATTCACTAAATTACCGAAATCTTCAGTGCTGATCATGTAAAACTAGGACTTGATTATGGCCTCTATCAATTGTCGCTTGTTCCCAGGTTTTTCTTTCCTTACAAGTTTTTTCAGTCGAGACCACAGGTTTTCTATTGGATTCAGGTCCGGACTTTTTCCAGGCCACTTTAAAACGTTTATCTTTTTGGCTTTAAACCAATCTTGACAGTTTATGGGGTTGTGACATGTAACACTGTCCTACTGCAACACACAGGTTTCTGTTTTGCCCTCAAACAAATCATCAATCGATGGAAGTAATTTAGCTTCAAATATGTTTTCTTGATATTTTTTGGTGTTTAAAATACCAACCACAATGTAGATACAACCCACTGCATCTTTGGTTATTTATCCCGACACCATTACACTTATGGAATGCTTCATTATAACCAATTTGCACTTAGGTAAAGGATCTTCACCGGGCCTTCTTCTCACATAATTGATTCCATCACTTCCAAAAATGGAAATCTTGCTTTTATCACTCCAATTAACTCTTGCCCAGTCTTCCTTTGTCCACTACTTGTGTTCTTTTGCCTAAATCAAACAATTCTTTCGTTGTTTTTTGTTTAAATATGGTCTTTTTTTCTTACTTTTAAATTATTTTTGTTTAAATATGGTCTTCTTGCACTGACGACTTTTCACCAGCAATTGTTGAAACTTAACTAAATGACTACAAAACAATTATCTTGTATTTATAGCTAAAAAAGATTTATGGATAAAAATAATAGTTAATAACGTAATTAATTATTAGTCTTCCCAATAAATAGACTAATTTTCACAAAAGCACAAAAATAATGAGATATTAACCTTTTACTAGAAAAACCCATTAGCAAAGCAATGACTCATTTTTGACACCAATTAACAATAATAATTCATAATTATGTTTAAAATTGATACAAACGATTAAAATTTGCGATTTCCTATAGCAGCCTAATAATAAATTACGTGGTTTAAACATAAGAATAAATAAGTAAATCCACCAAATGCATGATATGCCAACTTTTCTAAGAAAAATGGTAAAAATTACAGGGGTGCCATTCCTATGGCCACTAGTGAATTTGGATTAGTATTAAAGAACACGAAATCAGCAAATAATCTGAGCTGTGACAATAAAAAAGCAATCAGAGGTTTGACAATATTTTTCATTAAATGATGAAATATGTAAGATTTTTCATCTTCCTTGAAATGTTCATCAATGCGTTGTGAATAGTTTCGGACAGTTTGTTCTATGTAGCAAACATTACATTACTCTGATTGGTATTTTGGATTCTGCTCAAAGCGAGTATGAATTAGAAATAAAAGAAAGCTTGCATATAATGTGGCAAAGGCCCTGTTTAAATAAACAAGTAAAACATAGAATTCTTGAACTATTTTGACTATTAGGACGTTGATTTTATATTTTTTTTTTTAACTATTTGTACCTATTATGTTTATTTTTTTTAATTGAGTTTTGAGACTGATACATTTTGTTATTATATTTTAATAGTCTTTTTAACCCTTTGTAATTAATTTGTATACTTTATAAAAACGGGTTTTTAATGATTTTTGCAAATTTTACTAATGATGAACTATGTAGGTCAAACATGTATAAAAAACATTTTTAAAGTGTTGTTAATATTATTCAAATATTTATTTTATTTGTACTTAACAGATAATATCACTGCTGTTTCACTCAATATAAAAGCGAGCTTGACGTCACAAGAATTTTTGTGTTTAAAAAATAAAAAAGAATTTCCGCATAAAAAGTATAAAAATTCACTAACTATAAATTAATAGTATTTTTTTTCTATAAACGCTTTAATCTTCGAATTAAAAAAATATAAAAGATTTATCTTTCTTCGTTAAATAAATAATTACATGAAACGAAATAAAAATAAACATTGTTAAAATATTTTAAATGATTTTGGATCACTTTTCTGTTTTTTGCGTATTTTACGGAAAACCTGTCTTGGGCCAATTAAGATTTGATATTTTAAGCTACATGCTTGATGATTGAAATTTTACATACATATTTTACATTACATATAAACAAATTTTACATTACATATAAACAAATGTCTACTTTATCAGATTTTTGAAGGGCATAGATAAAAAAAATAGTTTAAGTTAGTTTTTTTAGCATTATTCTTTTTGTTTTTTACTTGTTTTATATGATAAACGTTCAATTTTTCTTATGCCCTCCAAATTATTGAATTTCCAACCCTTTTTGCACATGAAAATCAAAAAAATTACTTTCTGTACTTCTAACTAAAACCATGGAAGTATAAAACAGATGGAAGTTCAACCGCATTGAAATTCTTCGGGACTATGCTTGTAACCTTTTGTTTCGTAAACGATAAGAAAACGACATCAAGACTGTACTTAAACGCTTAATCTTTATACGTTGACGCAAATAGATACGTTTATAATAGTTTATAAATATAGTGTTTTGAAGGTTCGCCAATATTATTTAAGAAAAACATTAAAAATGGCGCAACGTAACGGCAAACAACAATTTTTATATAAACTTTATATTAAATGAATGGAGTACTACAAGAATGAATGGAGTCATCTAATAAAACTTTCAACTTAAGTTATTTAAAAAACAATTTTTTTGATTTTTTAAAAATTGTTTTAGTTGTCTTTTTTATCAAATGTCGTGTTATGACTTTAAGCAAGAAAAGAAGCTTAAACTAACATATGCTTTTAAAATCAAGTGGTTCTATTTAATTACCGAGTTTTAATAAACCTTTTGTTGAATAATTGCAATTACTAATGGTTAAAAATTTGCAGCGTATCCCTAGAATGATTCATTTTTTAATGTTTTAATAAAGATCATTTCAGTGAATTTTGTTGTTTTTTTATCCAGTGAAACTTGTTTTTTTTTTTATTGTCGGTTACAAGCATACTCCCGAGACGACTTGAAATTGCTTTGATGTTTGCGGCTCGATGAACTTCCATCTGTTATATACTTCCATGCTAAAACGTCTTCAACCTTGATGCTTTTAGCAACAAAATTTGTAGTTACATGCGTAAAATTTTTGTTTATGCTTTAAAGCAATGACGTAACTTTAAATGCGTTACTTCCCAATTCACTATCTAATAAAATTTATTAAAACAGCTTTTTTAGCGAGACAAATTTTAGTGTATAAATAAAACAAACTTTGGCGGTGATATTTTTTTTCGTGGATAATCTACAAACATCAGTTAAGTTGTTTAATCATCTGATATCTATTCCATACTTGTTATTTGTCAATAATTATTATTTGATTTTATTTGTTTGTATTATATTTTTATTGAGAAGTTTATTTATCACCATGCATTCTAGTGAAAGGGAGATATTAATACTGTACATTGGATGGGAAAATGGCTGGGAAAATGAATGTAACTTTTCTTTTATTAAGCGATTAATAAACGCTGATAAAATCACTAATAACGTGATTTTAATTTTACTTAAAGTCTTTCCATCTAAAGCATTGTTTAGTTTTATAAGTTTTATTATGCCAATTGAGTTTAATTTGCCTATTATTGAAAACTTTAAAAAAATGTCCAAAAAATTATCAAGACAAAAAAAAGATTCTATAAAAATTTATAAAGCTTCTAAAAACGAAGCATTTTTTAATATGCAAAGGTCTCCAGCTTCACAAACAAAAAAAAAAAGAAAATCAGCAGATGCAGATTATTTTTCAATTTTAAATAGGAATAAGAAACTAAGTAGTCAAGTTGACCAATTAACTTCTAAAGAAAAAACTTATGTGAAGCAAATAGATCAATTAAAAATGCATGTACTTAAGTTGGAATCTGAAATTACGGATTTGAATTCTAAAAACAAGGCTTTAAACACACATTGTAACTCATTAAGTTCTCAATTAGAGGCTATGAGTATTAGGCTAAAACAGGAGTTCAGCTGCTAGCTTTTCTAGTTCTACAGATCTAGTTGAATTGAAATCTCTTAGAAACCATGCTTCTATGCCTCACACACCTGCTAATTGTAACATCTTAAGGAGGACAATACAATCTCTGGAAAGTGCTTACAATGAGAACTTGTGTGAAAATAGGCAAGGTGGAAACTTAAGAGCTCTCGGTAAGTTTCATAAATCAATTATTGCTCCTGTGATATTCCCCATAATAACTTTAAATAATGTAGTGCCACCTGTTTTACATATTATGTTAGGAGTTGTGTTAAAACTGTATAAGTTATTGTTGAAGGAGTGTAAGACTTTAGATTGTCAAGCTGATTCGTCTTTGTCGCATAATGAGAATGTGAGAACAAATGAATTGTGGGCTGCTGAAAGCGTTAAATGTTCTAAAACAGCAGAAACTTTGCGTTTATTACGAAATCAATTTGTAGACATTGCAAATCTAAAGGCGCGATGGTTAACTTTTAATAACAATTTTTTCGAATTAGAAAAAATATCCCTAATCTCCAATAAAAAAAACCCTGTAAACAGCAAGAAATGTGTGCTAGTATCAGGTGTTTACTAAATATGATTGTGACGTTGATTGGGTGCAGTGTGTTCTTGCCAAAAATGGTTTCATCAATTTTGTGAAACTATTGGTGATTCAGAAAAGAGTGCATTGAGTGACATAGAGATGTACGAGTGTTGAGCTTGTCAAGGTGAAGATATAGAATGTCTTGACCTTTATATTTCTGAAAAAATTTCTTTTATACGTGCACAACGCAAAGTTTTAAACATTGAATATATTGAATTACAGGTGGAGTGTGAAGACCTAGAAAAATATATCTAAAAGTAGCATGGGGACTCATGAGAGGTCTCTTTATAAGGCCCTTGAAGATATGAAGGTTGAGCGACAAGCGTACCATGGTAATGTGTTTGTAGGTAATCATTGCAAAATATTTTTAAGAAACCACTATAAACTTTGTAGTGTTATTGATGATGAAGCAATTAAAAATAGATTTGTACGTGTGTTTAGTATTTTTAATAAGTTGCAACCTATTCTTTTTAAGCAAAAATTTCTTTCTGATGCTGAAATTAATGAGCTTCATCAATATATAAATTTATTTGCTATCAAGTTTCATGATTGCTTTCCAAAAGAAAGTATCACGCGAAAAATGCATGAACTCATTTTAATGTGCCACTATTTGTAAAATTGCATAAAACTATTGGGTTGCTGAGTGAAGAGGAGCGAGAGTGTTTGCATAATAGTGTAATTAAGGAATTAGGACAGTTGCATTCAGTAAGAAATCAGGAACAGAAGCTGCGTCTTGTTTTAAAACGCTTTGAATTGCACAGCAAAGCTGATAGTAAGCTTCAAGCCTCTAAGGTGAGAAAGTGTGTTGTGGGTTCTGAGCGAGGTAAAAATTCTTTTTATAGAAAAGGCCTTTGTCTTGTTTGTGGTCATCAAATTTAGTTTAAATATTTTTTTGAAAATTGAAAAAAAAAAAATAATAAAAAAAAGCGATCCTTGATTTATAATTTAAAGAATTTTATTATGTTCTAGTAATGTTTGTTTAAATTATTTGTTATATGTAATATTGCTTTTATATGTATTATATATTTTATATTTATTTGTAGGGCAATTCTATTCTTATCTTCAGAAGTTAATTCTATCTCAGAAAAACCTCCGCTCAGGTTAAAGAATGGAATATAAGTCTAGCATTAAATTGGTGTAAAAATATGGCATATTATTTTAATAACCTACGCACAGAGCAACTGGTATGTTTTTGTGTTTAATCTGGTATGTATGTGCAGTTTATTTAAAAAATTATTGTACTTTTTTATATGTAACATGTTTTTTATATATTAGTCCATGTCCATTCGATAATTCTACCTCTGTGGTATCACTGCTCTACCTCAATTTTTGTTAACGAACGGAATGGAATTCTCATATATATCAAATTGGTGTAAAAATATGATTTAAGAACTCAAGTTATTGTCACAGTTTTGAGTCAAACAACTGTTCTTCTGGTTTAAAATGAAGTATGAGTTTAAAATGAAGTATGAGTATGTATCAACTGTGTGTACAAAGATTTACTACTTAAAGAACTTTTCAATGGACCAACTTATTATAGAATAGTTTTTTATGAAAATAAAAACAATTTCAAATTGCTATTTGTATATTTAAACACGCAAAAAAAAATTAAAGTTGGCGTCTTAATTTATTAACATTCTCACATTAGAACTGTGTGCACATAATAAAAAGTTTTTAAAAAGCTTAAGCTTTAAATTTTTAGGCTAAATATTTTAAAATGTAAATCTGTTTTCATTTAATGGAATCGATTTTCACAAACTAGTCATTTAACAGTTTATCCCCCTTTTAACGACATTTTCGTAATTTTGCGAAAATTAGATTTGCTTTACTGGCATAAAATAACGTCTGTTTTAGTTAACCCTTAACATTTAAGTAAGATTTTTTTATTTTTATAATGGTCCAACGATGTGTACATTTAATAATAAATATCGAAAATATATTCTTTCTGAGTTTTTTTTGATAAAAAGTAACATCAAATTACTAATATTTAACCAAGTTTAACATTTGCCGCGTTTATTCTAAAATTAAAGAAGTCATTAAATAAATTTGTGGAACGTCATCAAATAAATCATTAATCACAAACTATCCAATTCGAAGGATCTGAATGAATTAAAGAAGTTGTTACTTATAAAAATTCAATAACCATATTACATAAAATAAACTATTTATACTATACCATTCTTATATATACTATATATATATATACACATATATATACTTATATATACTATATACTTGACAACTCCCTTGAAAAATTGTATAAAAATAAACTCAAAAAATCAAGAGTTACATACATAATAGAAGTTTTTATGACCAATACATATATATTATATATGTTTATAAATACATTTTTAATTAATAAAACAAAAATTTATAGAAAAGTAAATTAAAGAGAGCAGTCAAATTTTAACTTTTTTAAAGATTATTTAAAGACTTTTAAGGATGTTTTTTTTTCCCAAAGATATTTAAGGTTTTTAAAGAGGATTGGGAACCCTGAATATATACGACAATAATCAAATAATTACATATTAAAACTTTATCAGCAAATATTTTTGTAGTGGATTTGCAGTGGACCTATAAAGGCATTCTGAGCAGTTAAATGGAGTTTAACTCATCGTTTACTTAGTAAATTACTCAAGTGGCCAGCCAATAACATTCCAACAAGTGATATAGTGGTTACTTGTGTTATCCACTCTTGGCTGCTGCCACTAATGTTCCATTAAGTATATGAAGCAAATAATCAAAAATTTATTTATATAGAAAAAAATATCAACTCTTTTCCATCTTTAAATTTTTTTCATTCTAATTTGAAGTTGGATAAGTTACTAAAAAATAAATTTTATCAAATAATAAATATTAATATTGATTTTCATTTTAATTAATTATTTGGAATTTTTAAAGAACAAAAAATAAATAGCGAAATTAATTACATCTTCAAAAGATTATTTAAAGCAAATTTTGAAATGTTTTCAACTAATGCCTTTATTTTTTTGTGTGATTTTTTTTTGGAAATGATTCAAATGAATTTAATTTAAAAAACTAAACCAGTCGTAACAATTGCCTTTTATAAGAGATAGGAGTGTAAAAAATTTTCTTATTAAACACAATTATTCCTTCATAAGATTCATAAATGGAACATATTTCATAAAAGTTATAACCATTATAAAATTTTATATAGTTTTTATTTATATTTTTTATTGTATAGAAAACCATTTTGTATTATCGACTTGACTCAAAGAAAAAAATTGGTATTTAGTTAGTGAATTAGGCTTGGTTTCACTTCAATAAATGACAACTATAAAAATATTAAAATAATCAAAGCAAGCTAATATTGGCCACAATTGTTTACTTGAGAATTTCAATAAAGGTAAACCATTAATGATCAAATTCAAAAAAAATATGTTCTTAATGCTTGCCTGTATTTCAATATAAATGTAATTATTACCACACTTTTTAGGAACAGTTATAACTCTTTATCTCGAAGATGCAGAGAAAGTTTTAAAAACACCTCTAGTTATACCTCTAGATGTTTTCAAAATTTTTTTTTGCATCTTCGCAAAGTTTCAAACCTTGGATTTTTAATATTTCAAGAAATTCATTAACTTATATACTGGTCCGATTATTTTGAATAGCACAATCTAAAAGTTGTCAATTAAAGATATTGAATTCTAGTAAATAATCAGGATAAACTTTCTGTATCACTATTAGGTTTTCTTTTTGAAAAAAATGATTCTGCATGAGATTCTGCGATGTCAAAAACTTTTAAATAATTAAAACATGGTTCTTGATTTAGTATATCAAGTATTATACTTGATATACTATATCAAGAAACGAGTATACACTTAATATATATAGTATATCATATACTCAGTTAACTATTTCTTTCAATATCTGTATCAATATTAACATAATTCTTAAGTAATTATAATATAATTACTTATGAATTGTGAATATATATATTTATATATATATATATATATATATATATATATATATATATATATATATATATATATATATATATATATATATATATATATTTTAAAACATCAAGAAATATAGTTTCTCTCAATACTAATAACTTTATTATTAGTATTAATATTATAATATTTTAATAATATTATAATATTATATATTATTTTAAAATAATATATAATATTATTTGGCTAAATAATATTATATATTATTTTAAAATAATATATAATATACTCTCATACAAGATGTCATCTTTCAAATATATATATGTATATATATATATATATATATATATATATATATATATATATATATATATATATATATATATATATATATATATATATATATATATATATATATTATTGTTATTATTATTATATATATATTATTGTTATTATTATTATATGAAAAAAGAAAATATTTATTATTAAGAAATTATATTTACCTCGAAGAATGCCTGTTCCTCCTCTATTTTTTTAATTCTTTTCTTGTAAGCTTCTTCATCGCTGACTTTTCTCTTATACTTTTTTCTTAGTTTCATTGTCTCAATCTTATTAGCATGTCCCATCTATGTCAGACTTTTCACCTGTCTTATTTCTTTGACTGTATAACCACCTGAGCTCCATAGTTGGAATTTTTTTTGATATATAAACACCAATGTCTTTTTCTAATTTTGACTTTTCAATTTCCATTAATGTATTTTTATTGTTCATAAAATATGAATATTCGTTATTATTTGAACCAAAGTGCATAATTTTACATTTTTCAAAATTTAATCCTAATTTCCATTTTGTTGACCATTCGTCAAGTTTATTTATATCATTTTGAAACAATTATGAATCATTTTGAAAAGAAATAGGTGCAATTATCTTATTATCATCAGCATATAAACGACATTCATTAATAAAATTTTCTGGTAAATCATTTATAAATACCAAAAAAAGGAGAGGACCAAGAACAGACCCTTGTGGTACACCACTAAGAACATCAACCCAATCTGTCACACTTTTACCTAAAACCACTCTTTGTTTTCTGTTAGCTAAAAAACAGACGATCCACATAAGAAGTTTACCAGAAATACCAAAAGTCAATAACTTAGATAATAACTTTTTATGTGAAACACTATCAAAAGCTTTTTTAAAATCTGTGTACAATACATCTACCGGTGTTCTATTGTGGAACGCATCTGTTAAAATATCTAGGTATTCTAATAGGTTTGTTGTACAGCTCTTGCTTTTCATAAAACCATGTTGTTTTTTTGAAAGTAAAGTATTTTTTATGAGATGTTGCATGATACAATCAGCTATTATTCTTTCTAACACTTTACATGGTATTGAAGTTAACGAGACTGGTCTGTAGTTAGATGCTATTAATTTGCTTCCTTTTTTAAAAAGTGGCATAACATTTGCCTTCTTCCACATATCTGGTAGGGTACCTGTTTCCATTGATTTTTTGAAAATTAAATATAATGGGTATGATATTGACGAGCTGCATTCTTTTCAAACATATGGATGAACAAAATCAAAACCGACTGATTTTGATTTATCAAGTGCTTGAAGTCTAGTTTGAACATCATTTTGTGTTATTAAAACTGTGTTTAATAATAAATTTGAAGATATATTATGAAACTCAATAATATTTGTACAATTATCATTAACATACACAGAATGAAAATATTTATTTAGTTCAGTAGCTATGGCGAATTGATCATTTATGATTTCCCCATTATCAATTTCCAGAGCTCGAATATGAGTTTTCACTGATTTCTTCTCATTGATATATTTATAAAGCAATTTAGGATTTGATTTAAACTTGCTAGCTAAAGTACTTTCAAATTGTTTTATATTGTTCTTAATATCATTCTTTATTCTAATTTTTAGCTTATTATTCTGAATTTTTGTTTATTCCTCATTCCAGCCATTACGTTTATTAGCAAGCCATATATTGTTTTTAGTTCTTATTTTATGTTTCAATTCAGGAGTAATCCATTTGTTTCTGTTCCTTCTATTTTGATAATTAATTCTTGGGATAAACAGATTAGTTGCATAATTGTAATGATACAAAAATAAATCATACATTTCATTTATAGATTTACTTTTAAATTCATTTTCCCAATCTACATTATTGAAATGGCAAGAAAATAGTTCATAATTTCCTTTTTGATATAATCTAATGGATTTCTTATGTTCGGTTGAAAACTTATAATCATTCATTAGATAACAACACTTTAACAAATGATGACCCTGTTTGACATTCCCTAAAGGAGCTGAGTGAGTTATAGAAACAATTTTGTTTTTATCGTTTGTGATAATAAGGTCTAGAATATTAGTTGATTTGTAGTTTGCTATTTGGAATGTAGGCTCACATACACATTGAAACAGAAAACAATCTTCAAGACATTCAATAAATTTATTAGTTTGAGATTCATTATCAGTTGCTGAAAAAGGACAATTATTATCAGACCAATCTATTGTATTATAGTTGAAGTCACCTGTAATAATAAGATCGCTGTATTCTTTTTGATAAATACTCATTTTAGCAGCATTAATAGATAGCAAAACATCTGGTGGTCTATAAATGCATCCAATTAGCATTTTG